GGGGGGGGCTTTTTACAAGGGTGGGGACTTCGTAAAAGGGTACAAGCTTCTTGACCGGAGGAGGTGGTAGTGGTAGTCGTAGTCGTAGCAGTCGTAGTCGTAGTCGTCCTAAAATAGTCGTAGTAGTAGTACTAGTAGTAGTACTAGTTGTAGTTGTAGTCGTTGTCCTAGTCGTCGTCGTAGTAGTAGTCGTCGTCGTCGTCGTCGTAGTCGTAGTCGTAGTCGTAGTCGTAGTCGTACTCGTACTCGTGGTCGTGGTCGTGGTCGTAGTAGTAGTAGTATACGTCGTATCGCCGGCCGTAGGATTAGGCAGTAGGAGTCGGAGTCACGGAGTGAGTAGAGTAGGTGGCGTTCGGACTTACGGAGACGGAGTAGGAGTAGGAGTAGGAGTAGGAGTAGGAGTAGGAGTAGGAGTAGTAGGAGTAGGAGTAGGAGTAGGAGTAGGAGTAGTAGGAGTAGTAGTAGGAGTAGGAGTAGTAGGAGTAGGAGTAGTAGGAGTAGGAGTAGTAGGAGTAGTAGGAGTAGGAGTAGTAGTAGGAGTAGTAGTAGTAGTAGTAGTAGTCGCCGTAGTCGTAGTAGCAGCTCCGGCGCGTCCAGGTCCAGCTTCGCAATCAGACCTTCGCGGCATCTTAGCGTCTCCGACCCTGCCCTCGCTTGTTGCGCCCGGGATCCATCTACCACACTTGCGAACCATCATGCTCGCAATCTTGGAGTCCCAGAAGAAGCCCATCATGCGGCACAACGATGTGCTGCATCTGCACAACACGATCACATTGAACCTGGGCGAGCGTCCTGGTCTGGCACATGCCTTGAGGGCCCTTGCGGGCTCTGGACCTCTTGGGCTTCGGGACTTTGACACACAGCACAAATTCGAACGGGACCAAGGTGCTGTGGTTCACCAAGCGGCCAACCGCTGATTGGGGGCATGGCACCCTCCAAAAATCACGTGCTGCACTGCAGCTCCCGGAGGACTTCAATTTTTTTCTTGGACGCTTGAGCGACTCCGAGAAGGCCGTATGAAAAACCAAGCAGAAATAACTTTTCCTATCTTGGACAGCGACGAAGTTCGCCGTTCCATTGAAGCTCATGCGGATGCGTGGGCCCAACTTCTAGCAAACCATCGCGTCGAAGCTGCCGCAGCCCCGTGACAAAATGTGCTCCCTATGCTGCTGCTTGCGTCCCGCGTTCTACATTGAGGTTGCTGTTGCGGTTCCGGTTGCTGTTGCGGTTGCTGCTGCTGCTGCTGCTGCTGCCGCTGCCGCTGCCGCTGCTGCTGCTGCTTTTGGTGTTCCAGGTTCCTTGCTCCTTTCCAACGAGGGGGCAGGAGGAGGAGAAGGCTGAGGAGGAGGATGCGGAGGAGGAGGAAGAGGAGGAGGAGGTTTGAGCGATCACGACGAGAATTGGGGTCCGGCATTTTTCCATTCGATTTCCACACAAAATGGCTCTTGTGACATGTCCATGTGCATTTCGACTGCGCAGGCTCCCGCAAAGTGTGCTTCCCGGTCTTGGGCTCCGTTTTCCTCCTCAACATCGACATCCTCCTCCTCAACATCATCATCTTCCTCCTCCTCGTCCTCCACATCCACATGATCATCTTCCTCTCATCATCCCCATCATCATCAGCATCGTCATCATTCTGAGCCTCATTCTTACCATCATCATCATCATCATCACCATCATCATCATCATCATCATCCATCATCATCATCATCATCATCACCATCATCCGCATCATCATCATCATCATCATCACCATCATCCGCATCATCATCATCATCATCATCATCGTCATCATCATCACCATCACCATCATCATCATCCTCATCCTCACCATCATCATCATCATCATCATCATCCTCATCCTCATCATCATCATCATCATCTTCATCATCATCATCATCATCATCTCATCATCACAATGATCGTGCCGTATCCTGTGGCCCTCCCCCCACGCTGTTTCGGGTCTTTTACCGGTAAAGTAAAACGGAGTGGAGGCTGCTTCTTTAGGAGAGAGGCGGGGGCGTCTTTCCGGGGGGCGTTCCGTCGTACTTGCTATTCGTACTCGTCGTAATATAGAGTCATAATCGCAGTCTTTGAGTCGCCGTAGTCCTAGTCATAGTCGTAGTCGTAGTAGGAGTAGTATAGTCGTAGTCGTCGTCGTAGTAGTAGTAGTCGTCGTAGTAGTAGTATAGTAGTACTAGTTTGATTGGCAACGCTGTCGTACCTGGGAACCTGCTTGCTTATCCCAAATCTCGGATTCACCAACGGAAGGCTTGAACTTCTGGGTTTTGAAGGCATTAGTTGGTTTCACACATTTCTCGCTCCATAACCCAAATTCTGATGACACAGAATATTTCACAACGGTCGTGGCACTGGTGGTTAGTTCCGGTCAAATTGAACCATGCGACTGGTGGCCATAGTCTCTTCTAGCGGGGTCCTGGCGATGCCGTTTGCGCCTGAAGAATTTTGGCCCAACATGCATCCAGCTGCAATTGGAAATTTTCCCCCTTTGGGGGCGCAGGTGCTGTGTGATGATGGCAATTGCGGGCAGTGATGACCGTGTACACAGTCAGGTTGGACAGAATGGTGCAGTGCAGTCGCAGCATCTCGTACTGAGTTAGTCGAACAGTCTGGAAGGAGCAATCCTTTTTAGAGGTCGTTCTCACAAATACACGAGCATGAGAAACGGAGAGGTAAGTGATTGATGACCTTGGTGGCGAAAGAGGTTATTGATTGATTCGTTATTCGTGGTCGAGTCATTGATGCATTCGGTTGGGTTTTCAATACCCGCATCACATTGCTACATCCCGATCTTGTTTGGGTGGCCCACAGCATGCATGTGAAGTCACCGTAGGCCAGAGACGCCTGTTCCCCACCCCAGTGTGCCACGCCACAGCTCTGAGGTATCTTCGACCGACCAGACCCGGGGAGCTGGTTGCCATTGGATCGCGTCCAGGCAGTTCCTGCCGGGCTATGGGTAGTGCCACCCCGGTAGTGTCAACCCCGATAACCCCCATTAAATCAGCGAGCTGAAAGTTTGGAATATTGGTTATCTTCTCGACGACATAGTTGGATCTGATTCTGTGTTTGGCATCCTCGTTTTGAATTCCTTTTGACCAAACAGTGTGATATCTTTTCGCCCAGCCCGAACGAAACCCACGCGGGCTCTCAGCCAGGTGCTTGCCACACCTGCCCTGACGATGGCTCCTTGCTAGCATAGTCCTGCCTGATCTAATGCCGGACGTGGTCTGAGTTTGGGTGTGACACTGATTGCAAAAAACCCTGAGTGAACCTTTGCTACTCCACAGCACCTTTTTGGATCTTTGTGTGGTATCACTGGGGACGAGGTAGACTGGTACCAAGTGGTGATAGACTGCTAGACACTAATGGATGGGGATAGTCCATGGGTAGTACTCAGGCATTGGCACTTGTTTGTTCCATTGCGCTGCCCATTGGCGATAGATAATACTAGATGGGGGTAGTCGATGGGAAGTACTCAGGCATTGGTCCTTGTTTGTTCAATTCCGCTGCATGGTGCTGACATGGCCATTGCTTGTATAATACTGCCTGTCATACATGGGGTAGCTCCAGCTCGTGAAAGCCCATCTAAATGCCATAGTTCAGTGCAATGGTCCCCTGGTTCACTTGCATTGCATGGTACTTTACACGGTAGCATAGCTTCAAAGCCTGTCTATTGCAACGGAAACATATTTCTTGGATTTGTTGAACGTGTCTTTACAAGAAATCCCCATTCTTCGAGTTTGTTCCAACGGACGTCCTGTCCTTTTCCTCCTTTCCCCTTGGAGTCTACTATTATATTATATTGTCTTGGAACAATCTTCGTACAGTATCTCCTTAGCCCTCTTTCAGAAAATCAGCGCAATGGATACAATCACGACTCCAAAGCAACATGTCTTGTTCACCTGCTGCGTGCAGGAAAATTTGCAGGCGTTGAATCTGCCTGGTGCCCCATTGTCGGTGCTACATCACAGTGCTGCTTGACACGCATTCAGTGCATGTGTGTGTGTGCGTGCAGTATTGCCTTGTTGCTGCACCATCAGAACCTTACCTTCCGAAAAACAAAGGTTACACCGGGAAATTCTCACATCAAAACCACAATCGATTGGACTTCCAAAACTGACGTTGCATATCCACGGATTCCCAGGCTCCGCCCTCTTCGGTCCCGACTATTACAAGCACACGTGTGCCACATTTGCAATGAGTTTTTCGTGACACTGCAAGGCCTTTAGCTGTCGCCTTCGCACCGCCGTGTTGGCCCCTGTTTCTCCAAGGCTGGTGGGGAACGCGAGCGATCAGCGAGACGGGAAAAGCGCACCAGTGTCACGATAATGGGTGGCACCACTTCTGATGCTGCGCTGATGCAGCGCGTGGCATACTTCGGTGACTTGGCTGCTCTTATCTTCGAGGATTTCGTGTCCAAGTGTCGTGGTCTCCTCCATGAGGTGGTTTCCCTGGTCAAGGGCGTCATGTATATATATATATATCCATATATATATGTATATATGTATATATGTATATTTATATTTATATCCATATATATATATATATGTATATATCCATATATTTATATATATATATATAGACACAGACCATTTCTATTTATATTTAAATATATATACATACACCACATATATATATAGAGATTATCTACCTATCTAATTTTGGGCATTTCTTTCCCGAAAAATTGCCTATGATGATACATACATATAATATATTTGTCTCTGCCCCATTCCACCTTCGGGATAATGACATGTATGTCGAATTATATATATATATTTCAAGACATCAATGTCTGTACATCCGTATCTCAACTAATAGACATATATATATATATAAATAAATATGGTCCATTCAACCATCTTGAGGGTTTTACTCCTGCAGCGGTTCGGTTGCGATGTAAGTCAAGTACTGCGGCCCAGCAGTCAATTCTACTCATCATCCTTGTCCCATTTGGACTTGCCATTGCTCGACCCCATGTACCGTAAACCTTCGAACCGAGTTCACCTATTAAACCCCATGCCAGCTTCCCATTCCCTCTTCAATGGCCGACCATCTCCTGTAGAATCCATGCCCCGTAGCAACTAACTGACATGTTTTCGCACATCATGGCTGTTCATGTCGCCCCAGCATTGTCACAGTATACATACCTGGTTGGTACCCTCCTGCTCTTCGTTATCGTTTGCAAGGCAGCCCCTTAAACCATACCTGCGCCCCACAACGAACGGAACTGCATTGGTTGTATCGACCTCCTAGGTGACCTTGCCTCTGCCCATGATGGCCGGAATTGTCTTCATCTTCGATTCAAAGCACCATCGGCAGCGGCTGCATGCGTGCGTGACATGCGAGATGCCAATTGGGCGTGAAGCCCAGGGAATCCGGGGCTAGGAGCTCCGAAACATCGTGCAGTCTCTGTGTTTGCCCATTGCAGTAGCACACATCCGAACTGCCAGCATGTTGTTGAAGCAGGGGACCTGGATTCCCGGGGCCAGTTTTTCTAATATGCTTCCCCTGCCAATGGTGCAAGGATGAAGCACGGTACGTGGTTGGCGTTGCTGTAACGCCTGGATCAATAAACTCGAGGCATACCATTTCCGTAACTAGTAATGTCAGCACCGATTAAGACAGCATAGTTTAGTAACTTGGGAGGTATTTCCCAAATAGTGACAAAATCACACTTTAGTGGTACCCCCCTAATTAAACCCCCTAGCGGTTTTTTAATCCAGATTTGATCTGAATCACTATTTGGGGAAACCACCACAGTCAATCAGCCAGGGTTTCTTCATCCGGGGTTCACAGTCCACCAAAAATGGGTGGCATTGAAACAGCAGTCCGACTTGTTGGCTATTGGCCCTGGCAGCACATAAAGGCTAGGCTCATGTTCGACATTTTCTTGTAGGGGCGCACCACACCACCAATGGTTACAGTCCCTGCCAATAATCAGTAGCATCACGACCCCTGGGGCCAATGCTTCCGGGAGTGCTGACACCTTCGCCGAAAAAAAAAGGGAGATCCTCCGGACATCGTCTGTTCCCCACATGAGTGATTGCAACACACCCATGAGATGGAAATGCCTATTTGTCGCTGCCGTTATCATAGGCCAGCCAGCAGTGCTAATTTTCCACTTGGGTTGGTCCCCAAAAAAGGCCCCTTGCAAGCCCCAAAAAACTGTCATAAGATGTAGGGAAAACACTGTATTTTGGTGACTTGTGGGGGGCTTTTTTTGTGAACCAACCCAAGTGGAAATTTGCCAAGCCAGCACGTCCCCGGTAAGTGGCTCTTCGAACGGTCCACCCCTCCGATCTTCGTAGGACCCCATGCTCACCGCTGCCTCTTCCTCTCCTCCTCCTCACCTCCTTTTCACCCTTCTTTGCCTTCTCCTCGGCGCTTCGACGTCTCTGCCTCCTTCTTTCTTTCTCGTCCGTTCCTCGGCTCCTCCTTGTGTCCTCCTCCCTTCTTCTTTCTCCTCAAGCTGTCTTCGTCTTCCTCCATGTCCCTCCTCATCATTTTCCACCTCCTTTCCCCCTTTGTTTCACCTCTGCAGTCACCTTCTTCGATCGTCACTACTAGACAATCAGCTCCTCGTCCCCTTCTTCAACCCCCTTCCTGGCGGACACCTCCGCCCCCTTCTCCTTCATGTTCTTTCGTCAGCGGAGCCTTCCTGTTCTTGGAAGGCGCCCGCCACCTCCTCCTCCAAGAAAGCCTCCACTACTTGTTTTCTCCCCCCTCACCTTCCCAGTCGTCTGGTTCGTTCTTTGAAGCCCAGCCCATCCCTTCCTTTCTCAGATGCTTGAAACCCCTCCCCTTCTTCCCGGTCTTCCAACATGCCCCCCCCCCCCCGTACTTCAAAGCCTCGTCCGCCCCTTTTCCAACCCATCCCCCTTCTTCTGCTTTGAGGTTGGGGGGCCCACGGCCCCGCCCAGTAAGGGACCCCTACCCTAAAGCCCCGTGGTTCAAAGAAGTAGCCAAGAAGTAGGTCTCGCCACCCCCCCCCTCAAAGAAGTACCCCACCTCATTTCCAACGCCCTCCCTTTCTTCTGCTTTGGGGTGGATAGCCCACGGGTCCGCCTGACGAAATTAATGCCCCCCTCTTCCAAGAAGCCCTTCCCCTTCAAAAGCTTGGGGCCCTACCCTAAAGCCACTGGTTCAAAGAAGTAGCCAAGAAGTACCCGTTTCAAAGAAGTACCCCTCCCCTTTTCAAAGTCACCCCCTCCCCCCTCAAAGACGTACCCTCCCCCCCTTTACAACCCCCCCTTGTTCTGCTTTGGGGACGGGGGGCTTCAATCAAGTCACCCCCCCCTACTTCAAACAAGCCCCCCCTACTTCAAACAAGCCCCCCCCTACTTCAACAAGCCCCCTGCCCTTCAACAAGAAGTAGCCCCCCCCTTTACAACCCCCCCCCTCCCTTGTTCTTCTTTGGGGGGGGGCCTTCCGCCGAATGACCACCCCCTTCAAACAAGTCACCCCCCCTACTTCCAACAAGTACCCCCCTTCAACAAGTAGGGGACCCCTACCCTATCGGGCCGGTCTCACAAAGCTTGCACAAAGTACGTTCCAGTACTACTTTGTGATACAAAGCTTGCACAAAGAAAGCTTTTACACACAGCAAGCTCTTTTGCAGAGAAGCTTTTACACACAGCAAGCTTTTTAAACAGAGAAGCTTTTACACACAACAAGCTTTTACACAGAGAAGCTTTTACACACAGCAAGCTTTCACACACAGCAAGCGTTTACACACAGAACACTTACACACAGTGCTTTTACACATGGCAAGCGTTTACACACACAGAAACCTTTACACGGAGACGCTTTTACACACAGAGAAGCTTTTACACACAGCAAGCTTTACACTCAAAATCTTTTACACACAGCAAGCTTTTACAGAAAAAAGTTTTTACACAGAGAAGCTTTCCTGTACATAATCACAACAGGAATTGCAGCTCCAAAACCGGATCTCGACGCCAAAGCGAAAAAAGGCGATTTTGAGACACTTTTTAAAAGGACTTTTAAAAGGAAAATTGCTAGCGCCAAAATTGAGAAAATCTGCTGACAAATCACTGTCGCAGCCTTGATGCAGCCACTCCAAGACGATTTACGAGATCCAGCTGCACAAGACAATAGTATTACGCATGCAGCCGCGGCACCAAGCAACCTTGACGCAGCCACTACCATGCGATCTGCAGACACTGCATTGCAAAGCACAATAGAACTACGCGCACCGGCGTCGGAAATTGCAGCTCCAAAACCGGATCTCGACGCCAAAGCGAAAAAAAGACGATTTTGAAGCACTTTTCAAAAGGATTTTTGAAAGGTCAATTGCTAGCACCAAAATTGAGAAAATCTGCTGACAAATCACTGTCGCAGCCTTGGTGCAGCCACTCCAATACTATTCACGAGATCCAGCTGCAAAAGACACTAGTACTACGCATGCAGCCGCGGCACCAAGCAACCTTGACGCACACACGAGGTACCTTTCATCGCCGGCTGCAACCACTTTACACGGAAAAATGCGAGGTTTCGTGCTCCAGCTTCCTCCCCAACACAAGCCCCACGCAACATTCATGCAGCCATTGCAATGCGTTTCGCCGCATCACGTGGCTAACCTGCAACTCTCTACGCACATGGCAACGCCAGATGACAACAATCATGCAGCCATTCCAATGCGATCTGCAAACGCTGATTAAAGACACGCATAGAACTACGCACACAGGAACAGCCACTCGTTGCAGAACACAGAGGAGGAGGAACCCGTCGCGTCCGGAACGACCCCAGCCGCACCCGCCGCACACACGAGGTACCTTTCATCGCCGGCTGCAACCACTTTACACAGAAAAATACAAGGTTTGTGCTCCGGCTTCCTCCCCAACACAAGCCCCACGCCGCGTTCATGCAGCCATTACAATGCGTTTCGCCGCATCACGTGGCTAACCTGCAGCTCTCTACGCACATGGCAACGCCAGATGACAACAATCATGCAGCCATTCCAATGCGATCTGCAACCACCGATTCAAGAAACGCATAGAACTACGCACACAGGACCAACCACTCCTTGTAGAACACAGAGGAGGAACCCATCGCGTCCGGAACGGCCCCGGCCGCACCCGCCGCACACAGAAGGTACCTTTCATCGCCGGCTGCAACCACTTATTTACATGGAAAAACACAAGGTTTCGTTCTCCGGCTTCCTCCCCAATACAAGCCCCACGCAACCTTCATGCAGCCATTCTTTTGTGATGTATTGTTATGTGATGTCAAGTCTCACACCGCCCTTCATCAATGTCAATTCTTTTGTGATGTATTGTTATGTGATGTCAAGTCTCACACGTCCCGTCATCATTGTCAATTCTTTTGTGATGTATTGTTATGTGATGTCAAGTCTCACACCGCCCTTCATCAACGTCAATTCTTTTGTGATGTATTGTTAGGTGATGTCAAGTCTCACACCGCCCTTCATCGATGTCAATCCTTTTGTGATGTATTGTTATGTGATGTCAAGTCTCACACCGCCCTTCATCAATGTCAATCCTTTTGTGATGTATTGTTATGTGATGTCAAGTCTCACACCGTCAATTCTTTTGTGATGTATTGTTATGTGATGTCAAGTCTCATCGATTTTGTGATGTATTGTTATGTGATGTCAAGTCTCACACCGCCCTTCATCAATGTCAATCCTTTTGTGATGTATTGTTATGTGATGTCAAGTCTCACACCGCCCTTCATCGATGTCATGTCACTTTCATTTTTCTTTTGTGATGTATTGTTATGTGATGTCAAGTCTCACACCGCCCTTCATCAATGTCAATTCTTTGGTGATGTATTTTTATGTGATGTCAAGTCTCACACCGCCCTTCATCAATGTCACACCTTTTGCGATGTATATGTGGTGTCAAGTCTCACACCTGTATTGTTATGTGATGTCAGGTCTCACAACGCCCTTCATCGATATCAATTCTTTTGTGATGTATTGTTATGTGGTGTCAAGTCTCACACCTGTATTGTTATGTGATGTCAGGTCTCACAACGCCCTTCATCGATATCAATTCTTTTGTGATGTATTGTTATGTGGTGTCAAGTCTCACACCTGTATTGTTATGTGATGTCAAGTCTCACACCGCCCTTCATCAAGGTCAAGTCTCACAATTCTATTTGTCCGTAACACGGAAGTATTGCTTCCCAACTTCCTTTGACTAATGATTGCCATTTTTGGCTTTTGATTTCTTTGATGCCAATGCGTGCGGTCCCGGACCAGGCAGATCTGCGGGACGTGACCAAAATCCAGGCCTCGGCCCGAGCCTTTGCAGCGCTGAGAAGCGATGGCCACGTGGTCGCCTGGGGCGATGCCTCCTGCGGTGGTGACACTGGGCCCGTGGCGCGGCAACTCTATGAGTCGTGGCGTTTGAAATGGTTTGTTTGGGCCTATCCGGGAAGGATTTTTTTTTTTTTAAATGGGTGTTCTTTGAGGTTTTGGATGTTGATCTTTTTGGTGGGAAACGATGTTTTTTGAGTGTGGGAGGTGAATTGTTTTGTTGTATTTTCCTGGGTTTTTGATGGAATCAAAACCAATGGTGACATTGGTGACCAGAAAATTGAAGGTGGTTTTCTCTTTTGATCATTTGCATATAATTCACCATCCGGAAATGGTCGTTGTTGCAGGGTTTGCCACACCTGGTGACACCGGTCGTTAGGACGTCGTGGAAATCGCCTCGGCCCCCCGGGCCTTCACAGCGCTGCGCGCGGATGGCATGGCCATCGCCTGGGGCGATCCCAGTTCCGGCGGCGACGCCGAGCTCTGCGAGGTCACGGCGATCCAGGTGACGTCCAGGGCCTTTGCAGCGATCAAACGAGATGGATCTGTGGTCACCTGGGGTCACTTCGGCTGGAATTCTGTTTGTCTAGTGATGTTTGTTGATTTTTTAAAATTTCATATAGTCAACAATAACTTTAGTTTGAACATTTTTTGGCATGGTGGAATGGAAACACGATCTATAGATAATTTGGGCCATTTCGAGATGGAATTTACGGGATTTCGCCTTATTTATTTCGCCATTGTCAATCCGTGTACCCTCTGGTAAACTAACAAAACTATGGAAAATCACCACTATAAATGGCAATTTTCCATAGCTATGTTAGTTTACCAGAGGGTATCATTTGCAACGCTGCCAAGGTCATTCCAGTTGTGGCGGTGACAGCACCTCAGTCTCTCATCAGCTCTGGGGCGTGCGTCACATCCAATCCTCCACGCGCGCCTTCGCGGCGTTGAGACGTGATGGCCAGGCTGGGTCGAGGTTTTGCAGCAAAACCATGCCCAGTTTTTACCATAAATATATAGAACATGAATGAACATGATAGAAATATCATAAATGCCTGGGATGATATAGTGTTTTTTTTACCATATTGGGTGGTTTATTGTACGAACAATATTTAAAAAATATTTGGAATACTTCCTGCTTCAATGGCTCAAGAGAGGTGGAAACAAAAATCGATCATCACCCTTGTGCCCAGACATGGTTGGCCAATTCTTGCAGAAGGAATCTGTGCCTTGCACAAACATAGTGAATATCTAATCATACATCCATCTCTATCTACATATGTATACTTGTATACATATACATACTATGTACACACACATATATATATATGTGTATAATATATATTAATGCTATGTATATGTATACACACATATATATATATAATATATAATATATATAATATATATAATATATATAATATATAATATATAATATATATAATATATATAATATATAATATATATAATATATAAATTATAAGTAGTCCGAAAAAAAAGTAGTCCATAAATTTACGACTGAAAAACATCTCCAAATAGATCTTTCTCGAACTTGGGTTCTCCCAAACCATTTCTTTCCCAAAACTCTCCAGGTGGTCGCCTGGGGGTCGCGGGACTTTGGCGGCGACGCAGCGGCGGTACAGGGGATGTTGTACAACGTGCAGATGATCCAGAGCTCGCGCAATGCCTTTGCCGCGCTCAGAGACTGGGTGGACTTCAGGTCAACTTGAAGCATTGAACAAAAAAAACTCCCAACAAATGGGATACCATATTATACCATAGATGCATATTAACTGATTTTATGAAGGGGATTATACAAATGGTGATTTTTTGGGATACCAACCATAGTGTGGGTCTGTCTGAACGTGGGCTATACCGTAATAAAATGTTCTGTATGAATAGCGAACATGATGATTAACCAACAGATTTAGAGATACCCTATTTTCAGACAAACCCAAATCTGAATGGTGGGAAGAATGGGTGAGATTTTTGACGCACAAGCAGCTTGATATTTCTTTTTTATCGCCGAACATATCTTTGAGGAATCTGTAGGTTCCTCATCAACTTAAATCACCAATCCGCATATTCACGACGACGAGCTTCATATCTTTTTTGAGGTGAAAGTTCTTTTTCAGTTGGATTTATAGACATCATATAATGTCAACTCCGCATTAATAAACCATGGTGTATTAATTGTGGGGGTACCCTACAAATAGTCACAATATGATACTTAAATGATCTTAAATGGTACCCCCCAAAAAAAAACAGCCGTTTGGGGTTTAGAAAAAATCCAGGGTTGACATTACAACACTCAAAGTTATCAACAAGATGGACTACCCTCTGGTAAACGTTTACATAACTATGGAAAATCACAATTTTCAATGGGTAAATCCACTATAAATGGCCATGTTCAATAGCAAACTGTTAAATTACCAGAGGGTATACCATGATATATCCTAATAAATCCCATGAAATCCCATGAAAATCTATGGATTTTCCCCATTGATAGTTGATCAAATCCAGTTTCTTGCCACGTCTGCAGTTGGACCAAGGAGGGGATGGCCATGTGATCTCTTGGGGCGGGGATGATGAGCCCCAAATGATCGATCCGACGCTGCGGATCCGACGCTTGGGCTGAGGACCCCTGACTTTTGGGCGCTGTCCGAAATGGCGGGAGATCTGACTGTTGGTTTCTATATATATATATATATATACTATATATACTATATATACTATATATACTATATATACTATATATACTATATATACTATATATACTATATATACTATATATACTATATATACTATATATACTATATATACTATATATACTATATATACTATATATACTATATATACTATATATACTATATATATATACACACTATATATACTATATATACTATATATACTATATATACTATATATACTATATATACTATATATACTATATATACTATATATACTATATATACTATATATATATACACACTATATATACTATATATACTATATATACTATATATACTATATATACTATATATACTATATATATAGTATATATATATAGTATATATAGTATATATACTATATATACTATATATACTATATATACTATATATACTATATATACTATATATACTATATATATACTATATATATACTATATATATACTATATATATACTATATATATACTATATATATATACTATATATATACTATATATATACTATATATATACTATATATATAGTATATATATACTATATATATATACTATATATATACTATATATATACTATATATATACTATATATATACTATATATATACTATATATATACTATATATATACTATATATATACTATATATACTATTAATATACTATATATATATATATATATACTATATATATATATATATACTATATATATAGTGTATATATATACTATATATATACTATATATATACTATATATATACTATATATATACTATATATATACTATATATATACTATATATATACTATATATATACTATATATATACTATATATATACTATATATATACTATATATATACACTATATATATATATATATACTATATATACTATATATATACTATATATATATATATGCTATATATACACTATATATATACTATATATATACTATATATACAATATATACTATATACTATATATACTATATATACTATTTATACTATATATACTATATATACCTATATATATTATATATACTATATATACTATATATATATATATATATATATACTATATATACTATATACTATATACTATACTATACTATTATATATATATACTATGTAAATATAGAAAACCATAATATTGGAGAGCAAAGTTTGAGTCCTGTTTTTTTTGGACATGGCCACTTGGGCGGGTGAAAAAAATGAACGAAGCACGGATTCTGATTTTTTTTGTGGACATTAAGATCATATTCAGTCGCATGAATTATATCATGTTCGGGGTACCTAATTTTGACCTGTACCTGAGTGGTGTTCAAACTGTCAATTTCAATGGCCATTTCAGGTACCTAAATTGGAGGTACCAGTAAGGCCTAAGTTCCGCAGATGAACCGCCGCAACGTCGGTGGAACCAAAGTGCGAGCCAAAGTGCGAGCCGATCGCTTTCGAAAAGGACCAGGGCGGTTTGGTCAGCGACATCGTGGCAGAATGACATACCCTATGGTAATCAGCCACATGGCTGGAAAATCCTCAAACGAAATGGAGCTTGAACTATTTTGAATGGACGATTCATCGAACTAACTGGGGAATTTTCCTGCTAGGCACGGTTGACTACTGGAGGGTAGTGTATATATAAAGTATAAAACCATCAAAAATATAGTCAAACATGCAAGGAGTAGCAACAAGAACCGTTGTAAGCCGTCTTCGGAGTCGAAGACGTGATATTCTCGATGGATTAGACTGTGGGTCCATCCAGGTCTTACATTTAGCTAATCATCGATTTAAGTGTTAAACCATCTAGTAAACCGTCTATTTTCACCATCTACTTTAGCAGAAATGACCCAAAGATGCTGTTTAACATTGGAACAAACCATCTACTAACCATCTAGTTGGGATGTTGGGGAAGTTTCTGATTCGGATCCATCGGTTCTCTGGTTTTGGAGGGTGGGTTGATACAAAACCCGGCTACAACACATCTGTTTTTGTACGCAGGGCTGACATGTTTGATTCGTGACATATCCACACGACTTCCATCCCATGAATATTTTTTTGATTCGTGGCCGAAAATTCAGGCCCCCACAATGGCTAGATTTGAATAGATAAAAACATGGTCCGGTACCATATCCTACGAGGGCTTTCCGAAAAAATATATTTAGCATTATAGCACCCCCCCAACAGATAGAACATGGGCGGAGTTGCTGGGGAGATCCCAAGTTTCTGGTGCAACCAGTGAACTGCGAGGCTGCGGCCCTTCGCTTTCAGAACTTCTCAAATCAGCTTGCGCAGAGGCGAGAGTTTCTCGCAGCTGATTTCGGGCAACACTGCAGCAACCATATATACATCCATATACCATCCAGTAATCAAGCGTGGCTTTACATAAAATCCCGTAAATGGAGGCTTAACATTTAAAAAAGGGGGAGTTTCCATTGCTATGTTTGATTTCCAACTCTTTAACTATTGATGGCTTGGGGGATTGGGATGCGCGCCATTTCCTGCTGCTCAGCTGCCCCAGCTGCCCCAGCTGAAGCCGGTGAAGCCACAACGAAGCCGCGTCATTTGTGGCTCCAGTAGTTTCATCCATGGAGGATCATGGTTTTAGGCATCAAAGGTTTCAAAGTCCTTCTGGAACAATCAACACAATCTGGTTGGTGGTGACTGGAACCATGGAATTTTATGGAATTTTGTTGGATTGACTTTCCCAGAAAATCACTTGGGAATGGAATATGAATGGAATGTCATCATCCCAATTGACGAAGTCCATGATTTTTCAGAGGGGTAGGTCAACCACCAAGCAGCACAATTCTACTATGAATTATGAGAATTACCATGGGTTCGGATAGATTCATTTGCAGAGTTGATGCGCAAAAAGGTATGGCTGTCTCACTGCGGCCGCCATGGCATAGACCCTTTGACACGTGCCCTGCGTAATGTGCTCTTTAGGGCAAATGACTCAGAGCCTTCAAACCACCTTTAAGGGAGGTAACAGACGCCTGGTTGTTGGATAAACCAAGGGGCCTGTGGGTGGCTTGTTATGGGTCAGTTTTTGGGGTCGGCATGGGAAATTTGACTCAGCAAATGTGTAAGCGCAATACAATCAGACATGGTTGGGAAGCTTTCTGGGAGAAATTGGAGACTTTCATTTGGCATCTTTGATATTCTTTGATTACCAGAGGTTAGTTAACACCTGCTTGTTCTTTTCTTTCACCATGATCGGACATGATTTTCAGTAGCTAAAGTTGGGATGTGGGAATCATGGGGAAACCTGAGATTTTTCACGGGATTTGTGGGGCCCCCAGGCCGCTGAAATTCAGCGGTAGACTCCGGTAGACAGTCCTGGAAAAATTGAAGATGGAGTAGCTGGAATCTTCATCACTCCGATGGCCTTCCTTTTTTGGGGACTCAAGAAACACCCGCGTTGCGCTGGGTGTTGGACCATCCCATCGATGGACCATGACTTGTCACCGAGGAAGTTGGATGTTTGTCGCGGATGAAGCGCTGGTTTCATAGTGACATTCTCATCTTCATTTGGGGTCTCAAAAAACATCCCAAAATGGCACTGTTCGAAGAAAGATGCGGCTGGCCATGAGATTTTACAAAATTTGCCCCTCATTTTCCCCTCAACAGAGCCACAGAGCTGAGGATTGCAGGGCATCTACTTCCAAGTGGATGTCTTAGATGACATCAACCTGGTGAGCCTCACTGGTACCTTGGTGGAACAACGGACCCCAGTTGTTTGGGCTGTCTGAATCTGCCAAAATCTGAGGTTTACTGAGGGGAGTGTTTAACTTGCCATGGAACCGACAAAAATCTGAAAAATCAAGAGTGTTCTGCTTGGCAATGGCAGGAACTGCAGGGATGTAGAAGTTTGTCCTGCTGAGTCGCCTGCTAATTACATGATGACTACTGTCAATGTGGAAGCGATATGACTCATGAACTTATACAATCTTATACACTGCAATCTTCATCTGGGTTTGTTTGAAAATAGGGTACCCCGCAATTTGTGATGGTTGAGCAATTTGCCCATTCAGATTGCAATTTTTTCTGGTCATCCCCACGTGCAGTGTCCAAAATGGCCAACAACGGGGCGCTTAAACCCACAACGTCCAACTTTGGAATCCCCAAGAAGGCAACGTTTACAGCAACCCCTATATCTACAGAGCTAGATCTATTTAGGATGTAAGGTTGGAAAACTATGGAAAACTATGGAAAAAATATGGCTTGAAATGGTTTCGACCGCAACTTTCACCTCGAAAAACCCTTGAAGCCTGCATCATCCGCAGCGAAGCTGCGTGGCCCAGGAAGCTTTGCAGATGCCGGGCATGTCTATGTGCACATCCGTACCGGCGTCATAGGAGAGCAAGTTGGAGGCGGGAAGGTCCCCTATCTCGATCACGGGGTAGGTCTGTTGAAGATATGGTACCAACAAATCTCATGGAATTTGGGCGGTTCATCAACATTTTGCCTATCAATATCTCAATCTCACTGGTTGATCAACCTTTTGCCTATCAATCATGGCATTTTTTGGGGATGTATGTCCACATTTTTGCGCGAAGGTAACCTGGAATCAAGTGGAAACGCAACTGGCAAGCCTTATTTTTGTTGGAGGTTTGTTTTGACCATTTTTGACCACAAACATATGGGAGGTTAACCATCCAAACCGAGGGCCACAACTTCTAGTGAAGCCTTGCGGGCGATTCTTCCTCATGAATAACATGCCATTGGCATCTCCAACTTTCGGAAAACGCTGATGTTGGTCACTCCCCAAATTTCCGGACCTAAATAGAGCCAGGAACTTGGCGGCTGCTGCATCTCGGCTCTCCAATGAGATTTTGATGTTCGTTTTTCTGTGATGTGGTGTTGATGTGGAGCTATGGAAGATCAGCCTTTTTCAATCGTTTTTTTTAAGGTAAATCAGCCATCACTGGAGCATTTCCCCCCTTTTTCTTTAAAAGGGGGCCGATTCTTGGCGGTCGCCGAGGCAGTCCACCCAAGTGGAGAGTGGAGGGCAAAAGAACGTGCCCATCGGGCAGGCGGGGCCTGCCATAAAAAAGGGGGCGATTGACCTGGTGACTAACAGTTTGCGAACTTGAAAATGACCATATATAGACAATCATAGACATAGTGGATTTACCATGATTTACCTAATCAAAATATGTAAAAATGGTGATTTTCCATGGTTTTTTGATGTTTTTTGTATGTTTACCATGTCGGGTTTTCACTCCTCCAGCGTTTCGACTGGCAACCAGCTCAGGTCTTGGTGCGCGGCAGTTACACCCTCCATGTGGCGTGCTCGTCTTCCATCATCTATTCAGAAACTGGATTTAATCAACTATCAATGGGGAAAATCCATGGATTTCCATGGGATTTCATGGGATTTATTAGGATATATGATGATATACCTGATGAGATTTTCCATTGATGGAAGACGAATTAATCATCATGGCTTCTAAATATTAAGCCATTGGTAATCAATCATGGAACTACATATGACATGAATTTAAATGATACCCTCTGGTAACGACTAACAGTTTGCTATTGAACATGGCCCAGTCGAAATAGCGGATTTACCCATTGAAAATACATGGTGATTTTCCATAGTTATGTAAACGTTTACCAGAGGGTAAGATCAATGGGAATTTCAGGATCCTAAGTCATGGAGGTACGTTAGTACCATTTTTCAAGCCATATTTTGCGAGGATATTCCATTGATAAGAGCTTTGGTTGGATTACTGTGCTTGAGAGGAGGAGTCGATGCGAAAGTCAGGAGAGATTTTGCTGAAAAGCACCTGACTCAGGATGCCGTGTCCATTCATGACGTGTTGGCTCAGGTTCGGGAAACACACTGGGTTTGAAGACATCTTTTGGGATGGTTACAGGAATTTCTCACTTTTTTTTAAAAATCATCCAAACAAATCCAGATTGGAGGATTTTTGTTTTGGTATCGCAAATTCAATTTGAGATATATTGACATACGAATCTCTCCTAATCTCTCCTACGTAGGTATCTCTACCTGATATCATACCGAATACCATCGGACTTGACCTTCTATCGGATCTCAGGGGAATAACCGATGGATATCAGTGGACATATGATGACATATGGTCATATGGGATTATAATGGATTATACCAAAATTATACCACATTATACTATATTATACTATATCATACTATATTATACCATATATATAATATTATATAAGTATATATATATATATTATATTATATATTATATACACATATACACATACATAATTATCCTGTTTTTGGAATATTTGGGATCTTCATCTATATGGAATCGTGGAATCCATTGGTCCATTTGGTGGTTTGTTTTTTTTTTTTACGCCCCCGGTCCGCCTTTGTGACGGTCACCCGTAGGATGACAACGTGGTGATCTACAATGGCTGGGGGACGGCTGACTGCGACCGAATCCCTTTGGCTGCTCGGAGATGCGCACGATTTTAACATCTCAACTATCAATGGGGAAAATCCATGGATTTTCATGGGATTTCATGGGATTTATTAGGATATATGATGGTATACCCTCTGGTAATTTAACAGTAGTTTGTTGATGATTCTACCCTCTGGTTATGACTAACACAGCGAACTGGTTCAAATCCCCAAAATCAATGGAGGTTGATGTCGCTGGGAAAATCATCTATGGGCCATCTATACCATGGCTATGTTAAATAACCAGATGGTAATGATATCCCGACTTTTTGTTGTTGTGAAGTGCATATTTCTGGTGGTTCACCCGGATTTTTCTGGGGTAAACCATGGTGAACCCAGCTCTGTTAAGTCGCAACCGCAAGCCTCTCAGGACCGGGACTACTCCGGATGCCCTTGCCGTAGCTGGAATGGTATCGTGGAGTACCGCTGTGAGGCTTGGGGGGCGTTCCCTGCTTCAAGAAACCACTAAAAAGGGCTGGTTTTCCTTGGGATTGAGAATTGAATCGTTGAAAGAGAGTTACTTGAAGGAAATCGACCAACAAGTTGGCAACACTTATTTTATCTGATTTTTGTTTGGCCTTCCCAGCCATTTTTTTTTGGCGTTTTTTCACCCTTCTTTTCGAAACCGCCTGCGGAGCCTCGGCAAAAAGGTGGAATCCGTCTACCGAGACCAACATCTGCGGCGCCTCGTCGCGGTGATGCACCAAGATACCGACTTTGCGGAGCCTTGGCAGCAGCAGTTTTGGTGAATGGGAAGGCCGGAGTTCATTGTGAAGAGCTACGGATTGGATCATTGGATCTAATGATGGGGCCCATTCCCTACAACAAAAAAACCAGCAGTAAGTTGTTGGATGGAAAAAAACTGTTGGAATTTGGAGGATCACCTCACTGGACCAGTATCTGGATGTATTCTGTTGTATCTGGCATAGTATTCTGAGCCGTGAATAGTCAATGGGATCTCAGGATGTGGAGATCAAATGTGGAAATCAAAGATGCTCGGCAATGAACCGCCTGATGGTCGAGCATTTTTCAGGTCCTATCGCAAGCGATAGAAAGATCAACAGGACGTGTTTTTTTTCGCCGGATGAGGGTTTTCTGACCGAATCACCACATCTTTTGCGCAATTGGTCTCTTGATTTGAAAGCGGTGAAAGCGGAAATCACAAAAACTTGTAGAAAGTTTCTGTTACTTCTCTCTGGTGGTATACTTTGACCGGAAGAGGATCAATGTGGAAGTGTTTTCTTGTTTTTTGTTGGGTTCCCTTGCAGCCATTCAGGTATCAGGTTCCCTTGCCCTTTTATCATGAGGAACCCTTAGGATGCAGCGGAAATAACGCTGGATGGCAGTGGTCAACCCTGGCGTGGATGGGTCGACCGGCTGATCGAGCTCGATTGCAAGATCTGCTGAATGGCGGCAACGCACGTGGCTGTACCGTTGCTGGTTGGTGCTTTCCATCATTTTTTTCCTTTCCGCCCCGAACATAGGATGACTAATGATGAAGAATGATGACTAATCAATTACTGATGATTAATGATTATGATTTTTAAATGATGATGAAGATGAATGAAGATGAATGATGAAGGAGGACGATACATGATCATTTACCCAAATTGACTCTACTTGACGAACATTTCCCCATCAGGTTGCGATCTCCTCCTATGGCAAGGCGGAAAGGTGGCAGGTGGCTTTGAGTTTGTTTGAAGCAATGGTGGAGGCGAAGATCTTTAGAAATGCCATCAGTTTCAATGCAGCCATCAGTTCATTTGAGAAGGGAGGCCAATGGCAGGGAGCCTCAAGTTTGCTGGAGCAGATGTCATTTCAGAGGCTGCAGAGTGACGTGATCAGTTGGAGCACGACGATCAGTTGCTGCAAGGATCAGCAGTGGCAAGGAGCATTGAAGTTGTTTCAGGCAATGTTTGTAGCAAAAGTCTTGCCAAACGTTGTGACTTACAATGCAGTCATCACTGCTTTGGAGGGCGGATGGCAAAGGGCTATCAACTGCGTTGAGGCTATTCCCACCTCGGACCTTTCATGGAATATCATCAGCTGTAGTGCAGCGATGAATTCCTGTGCCAAGGGAGCTCAATGGCAGTATTCCTTGAGCTTATTCAAACTTACGTGCACTTCGAAGATCAAGGCCAACGTTATCTCCTATGCTTCAGCCATTGCTTCGATTGAAGCTCAGCAATGGCAACTGGGGTTGGCGTTGTTTGCCGAAATGACGCAAGCCAAGATCCAGCCAAATGTTGTTAGCTGCACTGCCGCAATCTCCCTTTGTGCAACGAGTGGACAGTGGCGGCATGCATTGAACTTGCTTGAAGCCATGCACGAGTTATACATCCAGAAGGATGCTGTTAGTTGCGGTGCCATCATCAGTGCTTGTGGGAAAGGAGGGCAGTGGCAGCATGCAATGAGTTTGTTAGAGTCTATGAGCAACACAGAAATCCGGCTTGACGCTGTCTGCTTCAATGCTGTGATGAGTTCATGTGAGAAGGGCGGTCAATGGCAGCATGCCCTAAGTTTGTTGAGCGCCATGTCGAAAGCAAAGGTTTGGCCCAACGTCATCAGTTTCAATGCAGCCATGAGTTCATGTGAAAAGACCAGTCAATGGCAACAGGCCTTGGGATTGTTGGAGACCATGTCACTTGCCAGACTACAACCCACTGTGGTGAGCTTCAGTGCAGCTATCAGTTCCTGTGAGAAGGTTGCTGGACTTTTTTCAATACTATTTTCTTTTTTTCAAAAATAAAAAACACAGTCCGCCCCCATCCCAGAGACATGGGAAGACAATCTCGACAGTTGACTAAGGAGCCGGTCAACTTTTGGTCACTTAGTACCCCAATGTTTTGGCTGTGCCATGGTTGAAACATGCTAAAATATCTCACGAAAGGAGAACATTCTCCCAGAGTATTCACAGGAGTTTTTCTACACCCAGACGACCATTTTTTTTTTCAGAAATGGTGGGATGTCCATTGTCCATTCATCCCCTGAGTTGGTAAACCGTCAACGTACCCAGGGGACCCAGGTTGGCTTGTGGCCTGCTGCGCTGTTGATCTTTCAGCATCTTCGCATTTCTCGGCAGTTCAACGAGATCAGCTACAACGCGGTCATCAGTGCTTGCGAGAAAGGGGGAAAATGGCAAAAGGCCTTAGAATTCTTCCAGCAGATGGTGCAAGATTCACTGCAGGTTGGAGGGTTGCTAAAAGAATTCTATAATCAGAATGGGTTTTTGTTGCATGAAAGATGTTAAACAATGAAACAGTCCAAGTGTTTGAGGTTGGTTCTTGTGGGGGACAAACTCGGAAAATCGTGGCGGAAATCATAGGAAATCCATAGTTCTGTGAATCAAAGGACCTAAGTAGTTGCCTCTGATATCCTCCTTGCCGACCCCTGAAACAATATTAAACCGTGGCGGGGACCCCCCTGAGAATGCTGGGCTTCCACCAACATGCAGAGGCCAATGTGATTAGCTTCAGTGCAGCCATCAGTGCCTGTGAGAAGGGCCAGCAATGGGAACAGGCTCTTCAACTTCTTGAGACCATGCTGTGGCTGGGGGTGGAAGCTAACATCATCACCTTCAATGCAGTCCTCAGTGCCCTGGAAAAGGCGGCCCTATGGCGTTTGGCGCTGGACTTTTTGGAGGTTCCAACTGGGAGCCGGGGCTTTTTGACGCCAGGGATTCATGACATGATGACATGATGATGGATGTTTGGGACCTTGAGCATTTTGAATGGGAAGGACTCGGAATTACTGAAATCTGGGTGGTTTTCCACACCCCAAGTTGCATCTTTCTTACCAGCTGGTACTGAGGTGATGATGGCAGCAGAGGTGCTACCAGATGAGGTGACTTTCAATGCAGCCATCAGTGCCTGTGAAAAGGCTCAGGTCAGGTCGACGATGCGACGAATGACGTCAATGGGCTGTGGATCCGCCAATGGATGGACTCCTGACGTCTGTGGAGAGCGCAACAGCAATTAAAATGGCATCCAGCAATTTTAGGTCTGGCGAAAGTTGGGGTGAACTGATGGCCGACGATTCACTTCAAGTGCCTTACAAGCTGGGATGGAAGTTCTTTGCGTACTTGACTGCATCAGGTCAATTGCAAGTTTGGTGATGACAGTGCCTCTGGCGCCCTCGTCGCCAATCTGGCAATTGATTGTGATGGCTTGGGATATGCTGCATCAAGGGCCTTACAAGCTGGGATGGAAGTTCTTTGCGTACTTGACTGCATCAGGTCAATTGCAAGCTTGGTGATGACAGTGCCTCTGGCGCCTTCGTCTCCGATCTGGCAATTGATTGTGATGGCTGGGGATATGCTGCATCAAGTGAATTACAAGCTTGGATGGAAGTTCTTTGCGTACTTGACTGCATCAGGTCAATTGCAAGTTTGGTGATGACAGTGCCTCTGGCGCCCTCGTCGCCAATCTGGCAATTGATTGTGATGGCTGGGGATATGCTGCATCAAGTGAATTACAAGCTGGGATGGAAGTTCTTTGCGTACTTGACTGCATCAGGTCAATTGCAAGTTTGGTGATGACAGTGCCTCTGGCGCCCTCGTCGCCAATCTGGCAATTGATTGTGATTGCTGGGGATATGCTGCATCAAGTGAATTACAAGCTGGGATGGAAGTTCTTTGCGTACTTGACTGCATCAGGTCAATTGCAAGCTTGGTGATGACAGTGCCTCTGGCGCCCTCGTCGCCAATCTGGCAATTGATTGTGATGGCTGGCGATATGCTGCATCAAGTGAATTACAAGCTGGGATGGAAGTTCTTTGCGTACTTGACTGCATCAGGTCAACTGCAAGCTTGGTGATGAAAGTGCCTCTGGCGCCTTCGTCTCCGATCTGGCAATTGATTGTGATGGCTGGGGATATGCTGCATCAAGGGCCTTACAAACTGGGATGGAAGTTCTTTGCGTACTTGACTGCATCAGGTCAATTGCAAGTTTGGTGATGACAGTGCCTCTGGCGCCCTCGTCGCCAATCTGGCAATTGATTGTGATGGCTGGGGATATGCTGCATCAAGGGCCTTACAAGCTGGGATGGAAGTTCTTTGCGTACTTGACTGCATCAGGTCAATTGCAAGCTTGGTGATGACAGTGCCTCTGGCGCCTTCGTCTCCGATCTGGCAATTGATTGTGATGGCTGGGGATATGCTGCATCAAGTGAATTACAAGCTTGGATGGAAGTTCTTTGCGTACTTGACTGCATCAGGTCAATTGCAAGTTTGGTGATGACAGTAACTCTGGCGCCCTCGTCGCCAATCTGGCAATTGATTGTGATGGCTGGGGATCTGCTGCATCAAGTGAATTACAAGCTTGGATGGAAGTTCTTTGTGTACTTGACTGCATCAGGTCAATTGCAAGCTTGGTGATGACAGTGCCTCTGGCGCCTTCGTCTCCGATCTGGCAATTGATTGTGATGGCTGGGGATATGCTGCATCAAGTGAATTACAAGCTGGGATGGAAGTTCTTTGCGTACTTGACTGCATCAGGTCAATTGCAAGTTTGGTGATGACAGTGCCTCTGGCGCCCTCGTCGCCAATCTGGCAATTGATTGTGATGGCTGGGGATATGCTGCATCAAGTGAATTACAAGCTGGGATGGAAGTTCTTTGCGTACTTGACTGCATCAGGTCAATTGCAATTTTGGTGATGACAGTGCCTCTGGCGCCCTCGTCGCCAATCTGGCAATTGATTGTGATTGCTGGGGATATGCTGCATCAAGTGCCTTACAAGCTGGGATGGAAGTTCTTTGCGTACTTGACTGCATCAGGTCAATTGCAAGTTTGGTGATGACAGTGCCTCTGGCGCCCTCGTCGCCAATCTGGCAATTGATTGTGATGGCTGGGAATATGCTGCATCAAGGGCCTTACAAGCTGGGATGGAAGTTCTTTGCGTACTTGACTCCATCAGGTCAATTGCGAGTTTGGTGATGAAGGTGCCTCTGGCCCCCTCGTCGCCAATCTGGCAATTGATTGTGATGGCTCAGGATTTACTTTATCAAGTGAACTACAATGATGGGTGTGAGTTCTTCGCAGGCTTCAGGTCAGTTGGGACCTTGGTGATGGGCGTGCCTCTAGCTCCTTCGGCACCAATCTGGCAATTGATTGTGATGGCTGGGGATATGCTGCATCAAGGTGCCTCGTACTTGACTGCATCAGGTCAACTGCAAGTTTGGTGATGAAGGTGCCTCTGGCCCCCTCGTCGCCAATCTGGCAATTGATTGTGATGGCTCAGGACTGTATCAAGTGAACAACAATGATGGGTGTGAGTTCTGCGCAGGCTTCAGGTCAGTTGGGACCTTGGTGATGGGCGTGCCTCTAGCTCCTTCGGCACCAATCTGGCAATTGATTGTGATGGCTGGGGATATGCTGCATCAAGGGCCTTACAAGCTTGGATGGAAGTTCTTTGCGTACTTGACTGCATCAGGTCAACTGCAAGTTTGGTGATGAAGGTGCCTCTGGCCCCCTCGTCGCCAATCTGGCAATTGATTGTGATGGCTCAGGACTGTATCAAGTGAACTACAATGATGGGTGTGAGTTCTTCGCAGGCTTCAGGTCAGTTGGGACCTTGGTGATGGGCGTGCCTCTAGCTCCTTCGGCACCAATCTGGCAATTGATTGTGATGGCTGGGGATATGCTGCATCAAGCGCCTTACAAGCTTGGATGGAAGTTCTTTGCGTACTTGACTGCATCAGGTCAACTGCAAGTTTGGTGATGAAGGTGCCTCTGGCCCCCTCGTCGCCAATCTGGCAATTGATTGTGATGGCTCAGGACTGTATCAAGTGAACAACAATGATGGGTGTGAGTTCTGCGCAGGCTTCAGGTCAGGTGCGACCTTGGTGATGGGCGTGCTTCTAGAGCTCCCTCATCGCCGATGTCGCAGTTGTTTGTGATGGCTCGGGAATTCTCTCTATCAAGTGAATTGCAACGTTCGATGTGAGTTCTTCGCATGTTTCAGGTCAATTGCGAACTTGGTGAGTTGGGTGTTTCTTTAGTGGGGGCATTTTGCTCAGTCAAAAATGGTCGCTTCAGGAGTGTGCCCTTGTCGGGAAATTTTCGTGCCAAGATGCGGATGTAGATCGATTGGTGGCACTTTTGATTGCCATCCTTTGTGGTGTCCATGTGGGTTGCATCAATGGGGATACCCCAATAGCTGGATGGTTTATTATGTAAAATCGGAAAATATTAAAATAGATGACTTGGGGGTACCCCTATTTAAGGAAACCTCCATATGTGTTTTTTTTTGTTTTTTTTTGCATCTCCATTTGAACTGCATATTCACTTGTGTATATTTACTACTCAGACATGTATATTTACGCATTTACACTGTATACATTTGCAGATAATGAGATGTCACATATCATACTTACGTAAATGTATATGTATATATATATTATACAGATACATAATAAACATACGTATGCATACAAAGTATATTTGAGATATACGCATGTACTCGTACTTGCGTATCACATACCAATAGATACATACACACATATGTATAGAGCAGAGGTAGAGAAACAGACAGACAGATAGATGGATGGATGGATGGATGGATAGATAGATAGATCAATAGATAGATTGATATATATATACACATAAATACCACTGTCCTTGGGCCCTATAGACGATTTCCCTTGTTGGTTGCCTGACCCCAATTGTTGGTCGAACCTGTACAAACCTTGTTCGGATAATTTCGGTCCTTTTATGTTGGTTCAAACCTTGATTTGTTTGTCAATGGCGCATTTCCCAATTTATAGTGGGATTTAATGGGATTTAATCAACTATCAATGGGGAAAATCATGATTTTCATGGGATTTAATGGAATTTATTAGGATATATGATGGTATACCCTCTGGTAATTTAACAGTTTGCTATTGAAAATGACCATAGAAATAGCTGATGTTACCCATTAAAAGCATGGTGGTTTTCCATAGTTATGTAAACGCTTACCATAGGGTAAAATGGATGATTTGGGGCGCACCCCCAATTTTCGGAAACCTACACTTTCCTTATTATTTCATGAAGATGTCGTAGATGAAATTTGATGCCACTTTGAGACACGATTTCAATGGCCATTTCAGATACCCAACTTCGAGGTACCTACCTTTTTCATCCTTTTTCAAGGGCGTTTCTTTCCAAGCACAACATATCTCCTTCTATGGCACAGTAGCTCCATAGCTCCTGATTTCAAAACACCGAGGTTTTCCGGCGCATCGCCTCATCCTGGCCTCTGCCTCACCAGTCTTTGCCAAGATGCTACAGACAGATGCTGGGTTTTTCAAAGGGGGAGTGGATACCCTCTGGTAAACTAACAGTTTGCTATTGAAAATGGCCATTTATAGTGGATTTTCCCATTAAAGATGGTGATTTTCAATAGCTATGTTAAATTACCAGTGGAGATGTTTTTCTGGATTTCTCCATGATGTCCATGGTGCTTTCTGAGGTATAAATATAAACCGCTTTCTGATCACATTGGAACCGCTTTTGAGTGTGTTAATGATCATCATCACTGTGAGGATGATATTTTAAACCTATGATGAACCATATTTTTTTTCGGGTGATGAACATGCATTTACAAACTATCTTGATGGTTTTCATCTTGATGGTGATCATTGTCAAGTCCCTCCCCCTGATACATCCTGATACTACCCAGTTGCGCCAAAGGGTTCACTGGATCCATTTATTGTCCGGAAGGGGAGATGGTCGAGAAATGGGGTACCATCTGGTTATGACTAACAGCAATAGCCATGGAAAGATCCACCAATGCTGGACCCATGCTATTAATAGGTAAATCATCTATTTCGATTAGGGCCATGGCTTAACCATGGCGAACTGTTAGTCATAACCAGAGGGTAAATCCCATATAGGTTCCAATTTTCTATAAACAAATTCATTTTTTGGGATACTCTGGATCTTTCGGACACCAGAAAATATGCCCACCAGGATGTGCCGGATGTTTGGGATGCTCACCTTGGCGGCCCAGTTTGGAACACCCGTTTTTGGTGGTTTGATGTCGAAGAAGTTGAGGGATTATAGCATCAAAATACCAGTAAGTTGAGGGAACATCACAGAATTTTGATTGGTACCCTCTGGTAAACGTTTACATAACTATCAATAATCACCATTTTAAATGGGTAAATCAACTATATATTTCTATGGCTATTTTCAATAGCTACGTGACAAATTACCAGTGGGTAAAATACCATCCATTGAACTAAATGGGCCTTGATGAGCCATTCCTCTTGAGGACATGAAAGAAGCACGCACGCGAACCGTCCTTATTGAGGAGCGAGCGAAGCGAGGAAAAGCACCAAGGAAGTGAAAAACACGTTTTGGATCTGAAAATTCTACAGCAAGCTTACCCTCTGGTAAACGTTTACATAGCGAACTGGAAAATCACCATCTTGTAGCTGGGTAAATCAACTATGTCTATGGGCCATTTTCAATAGCTATGTGACAAATTACCAGAGGGTATTTCAAGAAAGTTTAGCATTTAGGGGATAATTTTTGTGAAAACCCATAGAGAATCAAGTTGGGGGGTTGTTATTAGTTCACCAGAGTACTTCCGAAAATCTAGGCTGGACGGCCAAACAATGCGGTTTGGAAGGTGCATTTCCTTATAACAACTAGAGTCAGTTTGTACAGCTTCTATTTTTTTTGTACTTTCCAGCAATCTAACATAGATATGGGCAATCCATCGGCATACCAAGGATCCCATGATCAACACATAGATACCTCAATGACCCATGGCATTTCATGATTTCCATCATCCAGATCCTGAAAGATAGTGAATTTTCATTCAGAATCCCTAATCATTACAGTTATAGCCAGCCAGTTATGGCCAGTTATGGCCATGGGATGAAAGAACTCCTGCAACTAGTTGCTGAACAATATCACTTTTTGCTGAGGTTATAAACTGTTCTAAGTTGATAACTGGCTATATATATATACACATATACATAGCTTGTTGATGTTTAATTGTTCAATGAGGACGTATCACTAGTTGCAACTAGTGCAACCAGCTGGCCTAGAACTGTGATTTTCCCATGGAAAAATTCACAGGACGTGGACCCAGAGGTGGTGGCTAAAGCCTTGCGTTTCATGTACACAGGCACCATTTGTGTTGAAAAATGGGAGTTTTTCGAAGTTTCTATGGGAGCATGGGATTTTTAAGGGGATTTTCAATATGGATGTAGCATGGGATTTTTAATGGGATTTTCTATATGGATTCAATGTTTTTTTTGAATGGAATTTTCAATGGGCTTCAATGTGTAGGTATCCACAATATTATGGAGGTGACATTTGGTTTACCCTCTGGTGATCAAAAACACTTTGCGAAGCGAACATGACCGGTTTCTATAAATCTTTCGCTACACTAAAAAGATAGTGGTTTTCCGTAGAGGGTCACCGAAACATGGGGATTTTAATCCCAAAAAAGAGAAGCGGGATTTGAGCTGATGAAAAAATGATGGATATCTAGTGGATGTTCCTGGGATTGCAGCAGCTTTACGAATCATCCCAGTAATGGCAACAGTAATATCCCAGTATATAGTCAGAAATAGTCCTATCCCATTAATCACTATTAAATACTAGCATTATTTGTGAAGTGCGTTGGCTTCTTTATTTGCCATTTCTGTAAAATCCAGAAACTATTTCTTGCACAGGTAGAAACTTCTAGAAACTATTTCCTAAATATTCCTAAATTCTAGAAACTATTTCCTAAATATTCTTAAACTCTAGAAACTATTTCCTACATATTCCTAAAATCTAGAAACTATTTCCTAAATATTCTTAAATTCTAGAAACTATTTCCTACATATTTCTAAAATCTAGAAACCATTTCCTAAATATTCCTAAATTCTAGAAACTATTTCCTACATATTCCTAAATTCTAGAAACTATTTCCTAAATATTCCTAAATTCTAGAAACTATTTCCTAAATATTCCTAAATTCTAGAAACTATTTCCTAAATAATCTTCAATTCTAGAAACTATTTCCTACATATTCCTAAATTCTAGAGACTATTTCCTAAATATTTCTAAATTCAAAAAACGATTTCCTAGATATTCCTAAATTCTATAAACTATGTCCTAAATATTCTTAAGTTCTCCTAAACATTCCTCAAAAATTCTAGACACAATTTGCTAAATTCTGGAAACGGTCTCTTAAATATTGTAATGCCATTTGCTAGATACTAGAAACCATTTGCTAAATACAAGAAGCCACGCACTAAATAAGTAGCATATGTAGAAACCTGTTGTCACGTAAAGTAGACCATCTAGAAACAATTTGTTAAATCATGTTGGTTTACCAGTAGCCATTTCTTAAATGAATGTCTAGTATTGGCAAATCAAGCTGGTTTTTCACCATGTTAGCACGGGCTAGCAAACCTACTCAGCCTCGGAACACTCATGTGCTAATTAATGGTACGCAGGGTGGTGAGAAATAACCAATCTCCTTACCCCACATGCTGCATGCCAATTGAATAGTGGATCCCATAACTTATGGATATCATCTGTGGAAGTATTCGCAGTGTTGTATGGCGCAGTTGGCACACGATGCATTTGGCATGTAATATGCCCTTGCGGTTTTCATTGCTATTTGGTACACTTTTCCTCTGATTGAAGCAACACTACAACTGGTATGGGGTGATAATATTTTTCAAATGTGGCGAACCATGGGTGACAGAGGTGCTTGTACAGAATGTTTGACTTTAACTAACCGACTTTGCTGGTTCAAACAGATGTGTGGCTGAGTGCGCCCTGACAGTGGGAGCATGCCACCAAGTCAAAGTTCTTGTGAGACAGCGTCGCCATGCCGTCCACTTGCACTTGGTTTACTGGAAATTGCCGAGCAATCTTCTGAAGAGACTGAGTTTCTGCGATGCAATGGGGTGGTTTCAGATTAGCTGCTGAGACTTCCGCTGGGTGAACCACATTTTTCTTGGTGTGTACTAGCTTCATCACTTGATGTTATGTTATTTTTGGGTCCTTTCCATGTCCTGCCCACAGGAGAAACAATGGGTGACCAAATCAAGATGAGCTAAAAATCACTGTATCGTACCAATGTCTAGCTTAGATTCTGTGTCGTCACCCCGACCTACAGATACATTCTCATTTGTTTTGAGGCCGCCTCTACCATCACCCAGTGGAGTTCCAGAAAGCTTCAACTGGGCCAAGGGCTATGTGAACAAGTTGGGGCTGGTTCATTTGGCAGACTCCTGCCGTCTGGCGGGTGTTCAGTGGCCTGCTTCAAAAGTCAAACCAAACATCACCAAAACCACCAGGGGTGACATGACATATGAGATTCCATCAAAATTTGCGCTGATTAAGTATGTACTGGGGTGTGCATGGGATGTTGGCTGTTGCATGAAACCTGCTAAAACGATAGGGGACTAACAAAAAAACGACACGTTTTTTGATTGCGCATGCTTGCACGTTTAGTTTTGTGGTGTGGGCATAGTGTTTGCTTAGGCAGGGTTGTTTTTTCACGGTTGGATCCACTTCACCATGAATGGGTGTGCCCATGTGGTGGGTTGACTTTACATGACTTTTCATTACTTTAGCCACCTAGGTGGGCTGCTTAAACTCGGCACCGAGTAGCTCAGATTACGGAAACCATGCATCTATTCGCAGGCAGTGTAGGAGTGGCCAACTCCATGCAGTATCTCGTTTTGCTGCCTTGCCTAGCTTTGGTACACCGTGGCGAACTATTCATTCAGTCTCGCACGCATGTGGCTTGCAAAGATGGAGCCCACGCAGAACGACACCCAAAACGATACTATTTTTCCAAAAGCGTCCCGAGTGACCGACTGGTCACACAAAAGGCCGAACATGTGGTGGATGTTGGTAGTATGTTGTAGTGATGGACTAAAGTTTTGTGCCCCGGCTGGATAAATTGTGAGGTTAGCAGCTGTGAGTGGCCAAAGCATGCCAAAACCCCATTTTCTTTCCAAAAGCGCAAAGGAGGACCAGACAGGCACGGGCAAAAGCACAAGTGCGCCCCAACGCGCGCAAACAAAGATCGCCAAGGATGAGGATCCAAGTGGACGTGCTTCAAGACTATGCTTTAACAGAGGTTTAAAAAAAACAAAATATGTAAAAACAGGAAAACCGTAAAACGACAGGGGACTCACTAACAAGATGACGCACTGGACGTAGACAATAAATTTCGACCGTGGCTCATATGGACCATCCGAAATCAGAATGCACCAAGGCCAAGTACTGGTCAACATGATAGTTTCTGCAGGTTTTGATGTTCCATTCCAGCTGGCATTGTGGTCTGTTGTTTTCAAGTTGCCGCAAGCAGAAAGTTCACAATCCAAGGGTGAAGATTGCAGAAGGATGCGCTGGGGCGGCAACTGGCACTTATGCTTTGATGCTTGTCAAGCATTTGAACAATCACGCGTCACTAGTCCTAGTTCTTTTCACTTGCGGTCTGTGTCTAACTGAGTAGGAGCAGGGGGCGGGTTAAGTAAAATGAAAAGAGTGCAGAAAGCAAACGCTGAAACCAAAAAAAACATATTGAGTGATCTTGACCGGCGAAACAGTTTTCCGCAAGTTCAATTCAGTACGGTTTTGGGCAGCTGTTTGAATTCACACTATTCCGTTTTCAAGTTTTCAAATCCCAATGCATCTCCAAGATCGTCCAGATAACTCCACCCATCATGGATCCCACACGTGAGTTGTTTGCATGTTGATACTGATGCATTAATGCTGACTGATTTTCAGGAAAGCTTTGGCAGAGGAGTTGGGCTTTGAGCCTGTGACGACCAGTGTGAGTGAACCGGTTTCCTGGAAACAGAACTTCATGTTCGACAACCACCCCGGGACCAGTCCCTTGGTTGAGCTTTTTAGGCAGGGTTGAACTGAGGTATGGTTTTCAGAATCCAAAAACCAAAGTGCAAAGTGCCAAGGCCCAAAGATCAAAAAGGTAATATCCATTTTCAGGAAACAACTTAGATTACCTGCCTAAAATTACACTACAATGGGATTGGGATTTGAACTGAAAAACTTTGTTGGGGCTTCCAGCTCGCGGCTTTTTTGTATTTGCCAAAAACAAACGTGAACAACACGACTCTCAGAAAAGATGCACATAAAATCAATCAAAAACTGGAACCATTTGCCACAAGTGGCAGCCTCAAGAATTGCAAAGGACCCCACACAGCTAAACCATATCAGTTCATATCAGTTTGGAAGCCCTTTTCAGCTAAGTTCGCCATATCTACAGCGACATCAAAGACCAAGTATGTGGCGGATACTGCAACTTGCATGGCCTCGCTTGCCCAGCTACGGAAGAGGATGGGGATGGTTTGGGAAGGTGTGAATATCATACCATGACTGTTTAGCAGCCATGTGGTCAGGACAAGGTATTACCTTGCCAAATTCTTATTTTCAAGCTATCAGATGCAACCCATCAAATACCCAAATCCAGATCATATTTCGTATCTACAGTCGGCAAGGAAAAAAACAATCACTAATTATATATATTTTATATTGAAAAATAAATGTAGATAGATAGATTGATAAATAGATAGGTAGATGATAGATAGATAGTTTGATAAATAGATAGGTAGATAGATAGGTAGATAGATGGATAGATAGATAGACATAAAGATATACTGTATATGTATAAGCATAAAGATCCAATTAGATCCGGCCTCTCGGCTCGCAGGAAGACTTCTTCCTGTTCGGCCCCCCTTGCCAGCCCTACACGCGACTGTCAACAAAGCGGATGAGGGAGGACTACCATCCTTTTGCCAATGATGAACGGACAAAACCTTTTCTTGATGGATCCAGATTGATTCGACTCTGGGTTGAAATTTTAATCTTTGGCAGTGGGCAGTGGGGATTCAAGACCCAGGAGTTGAACCTGGATGAGTCACCAAAGACATCGCCAGCCAAAAGATGAAATCTCCTTAGATAATGGGGCGTATATTTTTTGTAGTCGAGTCGAGTCATTACTCCATGGGAAAAGCCCGTTATGAGCCCCGTTTGAGGAAAGCGGCGGCCCAAGATAGTGGTCATGGAAGAGGTAGCTTGGCCCAAGAGTGGATTGCACGTGTCAGGGTCCATGTGCCCTCTCACATGTTGCAAAGCCACACATGCATTCGGCGTTTTCCTTTACATTAAATCTGTAGTAGGCATCGTCTTGGCATTGGGGTTTGTGTTGCGTTGCTGGATCTTGATCACACTGATCACCAATCACGCCTCACAAGTCTCCTTTTAATGGAAAGCCAGAGTTCAAAATGCGGCATTGATTTTGCCTTTCTGGTTTTCAAACTGTCCATTGAATGTTCGAAAGATAGTATGTGCTGAACTGTGGGTTATGAATATTTGTGTGTGGGTGCAGTTCATACCGTTTCATATATCAATCTCAGATCTCGCGTCGCCAGCCCCCCAATATCATTTAAACTCGCCCAATGTGATTGTCGTGATCAGCCCTAGGTGGCGGACATCTTGGCAAGATTCCCAAAGCAGTGCAAAGGGCCATTCTTCGACGAGTGCAAGGCGCGACCCATGGCCGGCTTGGTTTACAACAAGACCGAGTGTGAACCATGAGATCATGGGGGTCATCAGTCATTAGTTACTGCTCACGATTATACCTATTTGACAATAACTCCTTATATATATAATATGCATCTTTTCAGCACATGTTCCGCGATTTTGTGTCAGTGGCACGTCCCTGCTGTGGCTTCCCAGACTATGTAAGTCCGGTGCCCCACAGTGCATTACCATCCAAAAGTGTGGACACGGTTTCGAAGGGTCTCAGTCCCACTTGCCCTTTGTAGCTTCTGGGTCTGGCCCAAGACAGGGTTTCATTTACTCTGGAATTGCTAGCTGCACACAAGCCCATTGCACAAGCACTAGAACGACTATTAGAATAGAATTTGCTATTGCTGTCTGACGCTTCACACACGGATACTGAAAAGTGACGTTAAGTGATAGGTGGTATCACAACGGTTGAAGGAGACTCAAATGCAACTTTTCCTTTTTATATGTTGTCTGACTTGTGGGACAATCAAAGCAATGGTTCCGCGAGTGATCATGAGCAAGTTGCACGCCATGCTGCCAACCAGCAGCGCACCAGCAAAGCCAGAACTGCCGCAGTACTTAGCAAATTTAAAAGGAAGATTCAGAAACAGGGTTTTTCCCAAGATGATGATGGTTCTGGAGTGTATCCTACATGTCTTCAGACAGATGATTCGTGGTCTGCAAGGATCCAGCAAAACTATTTTACCCCTTTGGTCAATGATGCAGCCAATCGCACAAGGAAAGCATTTGGGGACAGTGATCGTCGGAAGGTTTTTCGTGAACGCGGGAGGGCTGTGATGAGTTTTCTGTGCCAGCTACCTGGTATGTTGAAAAGGATGCTGAGGCCATCCACTGCTGATGCAAGCCAATGCAGCCCGGAGTCTGTGATTGATTGTGTGGTTTTGGATGACACATCCACAATCCTGCGTGGAAGTGACGGCATGCCTACCGTTCACAGCGTCATGAACACCATTCAAACAATTCATACTTCTTTCAGCAACGGTTCAAGGGAGAGTGCACAGGTTCCAACACCATGTATTTGTTTGCCAACCCAAAAAACAGAGGATGTTTTCTTGGGATATGCCGCTGGCGTGCTTCTGTCAAGCCAAGGGGTTGGTACAATCATGGAAAGTCTTGACAAAAAGTCGATTGTGGAATCTGGAGAGCAGGATAGTCCCACATTAGAAGCTTTGATTGGCACTTTCAAATGGAAAGTCCATATCTTTGTGGGCGATGCCCTACCCACGAACACAGCAGTTTTCAAGCTAGAACGCCGGTTGCAGAGACAAGCTTTGCAATCAGGGGGGTGGGGCATATTGTCCCTTCGCATCAAGTGTGTTCTGCACCAAGTTTGCTTGGTGAGGCGCCCTGCAGTCCTCTCGGTCGATCGGTTTTGGGCTACATTGGTGAGATTAGCTCACCTTTTTGAACAGCACTCCTTTAAACGGCAATTTACCTTGGCGGTTGTGCAGATTCTGCGTTCTGCAGATGGGTTTCAACGTTCCTTGACACAATGCCTTGAGGCTTGAGAACATGGCATAGATGCTGCGCCCCAGTGACAAACATACCTAAATTACATACAGATACATACATACATACATGCATGCATGCGTACATACATACATACAGACAGACAGACACACATACTTACATACATACATACTTACGGACTGTTACTTCCTGGCTCAATGTTTAGGCCTTGGGCCAACTGTTAGGACAACATATTGGCAGTACAGTGTGCGTATCCACCCTTCCATCCACCCATCCATCCATCCATCCATCCATCCGCTCATCCACTCATCCATCCATCCATCCATCCCTCCATCCATCCATCCATGCATCCATCCATCCATCCATCCATCAGTACATACCATACCATACACTGCATTGCATTGCGTTGCGTTGCATTGCGTTGCATTACATACGTTACATACATTCATAGAGATAGACACACATGCAGTTTCTTGTGTTGATTGACATACATGCTCATCCTTGGCATCCGTGCAGTTACTTACAAATATTATAGCAATCATATAATATACATATACTTTCATATGCTATATGCTGCAGTGTTTGTTTATACATACTTTAACATATTGCACGTGCATATGCATATGCAGTACATGCTTTTTCTTACTCAGCGGGTGTCCCTGCCAACATGTTTTTTCTTTGGGTTCGCGCGCCATTTCGGGTATAGAAAAGGAGGCGATTTCGCGCGCGAACCCGGCGACAAACAATGTTTAATGTAGTCACTTGCTGATACTACTTTTACTGATACATTGCATACTTGTACATACATACGTGCATACATGGACGCACATGAGCGCATACATATGGGCATATCATCTCAAAATAGGGAGTGCCCGAAACTTTTGAATTCAGGCCGAATAGGGGTTCCCCAAACTGTTTATTTGTCAATTAACATTTCGGGGTCCCCTATTTTGAGACATTTAATTTGCGGTGTGTTCATTATCAACTATCGACATAAATCAGCCAGTCAACCAACTGGCATGTTCATATGTATTCAGTTTCCAACATTTGCATTTTCTGCAATTCCTACATGACATAACCCCAAGAACATGTTTAACATGACCTGGCAAGTCACATCAAATGAGCAAAGCACATGTTCGCAGGTTTACACACGCCTTTCAGTGTTTCATGTTTGCATAGCCCAGCCTAGGCATTGAAGTGGAGGAATACCCCAGTGACATGGCTCAATGGAAACAACGGGCGAAATGGCTTGCAGATGGGTTTCATCCAACATCCAAGCAGGCACGTGCTCAGTTCAAGGATCTTTGCCAGTTCTTGAATGGAAACTCAATGGAGGAAGAGCTTGTGCATTGGTGCAAGGGTTGCTGTTCCACAGATGAAGAAGCCTTACAAAAGGCCATTCAGTGGCTGATTCCTGTGTTTGCCAGAGGTTTCCAGTGTCCATTGCTGTACCGATTCAAACATTACAGCAGTGCATCATCCTACATACGGACGGCGTGTTGCTTTTTCAAGCTCTTGCCTCGTGTCTTGAAACAAATGCAGGACAACATGGCTAGCAAGGTTGATTCGTCTTCAAAGTTCTCATCATTTCTGGAAAGTATTTTGGAGGACACTGGGGAAGGCCATATTGAAGCTCCAGTGACAGACCTCCAGGCAGCCTTGGATGACCTTCTTGAAAATGACTTGGCATACAGCTTGCAAAACAGCATCCGAAGACGGAATGTTATGGAACAAGTTTCCAAGCCAGACTTCACCCAGTCAGCAGTCATGATTGACATCATTGTCGACTCTTTGGAATATGGTTCAAATGTTCTGTTCAAGAGGACCGCCATCCTTACAAAAATGTCTGGGCTAGGCAGCCGCCACCCGAAATACAAGGAGTTCAGTGAGGAGAGTAAGAAATACTTCCTTCAAATCACTTCTGGGATGTTTGGGGAGACTTTGATGGGACGAGCTATGAACCTTTTGGGTACTGGTTTGGAGGAAATCTCTGCAATGGGGTTTGCACCAACTTCTGATAGGATGGAACTTTTCTTTCGACTGATCATTGCTTGTGTCTCTGATTTGTGGAGGAGATTAGTGTTGGAATACTCTGGTTTTCCATTCAAATGGTTTGGCTTGTTGAAACCCGACGCCGCTCTGGGCAGTTTTTCACTGCTTTGGGAGGAAGCAACTGCAGCAAAGGGGCGGGGCTGTTCTTGCATTGACTAGGAATTCTCTTCCAGTTTGATGCAAGCCTTATTGACAGCTTCAGAGCAACCAGCAGGAGATGCCACCTTACTTTCTGAGGTCACCAGAATGCTTGATCACATTGCCAGCTGTGCAGCTGTGACTTCGGACAGTGTGGAGGTAAAACATGGCCAAATGCAATGGACGGTTTCCAAACGGGGAAGCCAATTTGCCAAACAGGGGAGAGCCGCAACTGAATCAGCACTGCTTCACAACATAGTCAACAACCACCGCCTCGCGCAACAGGAAATTTCGGAGGAAACTTTGCCTCCTAGCCGTTCTAGAGCTGCACTGGAGCGATCATTGGGAATCAGCTCTAGGAACCAACACTCTGCTTCCACCAAAGAGTTGGAGGCCAGGGCTTGAAACACAGACAGCATGAATCAAGATTCATTGATCGTGTTTGTTTTGTGGTTTTCCACGCCTTTCAGGCTTTCCAAAGACAAACAAAAGAGATCACTCGATATGATTCATGACTCATGACGGGAAAAAAATATTCAACAACAATTGACAATACCAGACATACTATACTATACTTATTACACATTGAGACTATTTATACGACTATATTATACCATACTGGACTGGACTCCCTGATCCCTAGTACTGACAACAGATAACATCTTGATGATGGACCCCATGGTTTTTGTTTGTGGGTTGGATTTCCTTGTAGGCGAACAGTGACTCTCAGCCTTCCAGACGACCTATGGAATCTGAAGTGCAAAAAGCAAACCGTCTTGACCAGGCGGCCAAACGGAAAGTACGTGCCCTTTCAGGATGGAACGTGTTTCAAAGGAAAATGATGTCTGAATCAGGCGCTTTGGAGCCTGATGAGTACAAGAAACGAGTGCGGGAAGTATCATCCACTTGGAAGTCTTACACGCCAGAGGAGAAAGAGCCATACATCATTCAAGCAAAACATGAGCAAGAAGCTAGGGAGGCATTGAGCCAGGAGCCTTTGGCTGTGAAAGGAGAAAGCAAATCTGACCTAGAAACATTAGTAGGGAAATCGGGTTGCAAGAAAGTATCAGCAAAAAGGCTCCTGGTGAGCAAAGAGATCTACCAATCGCATGAGATGTGGTCCACTCCTACTCAGCTTGGTGATGGTGCCATAGCTTGGGACATGGCAAGGGTTTGCGCGCATGGCGTGTGATGAGTGATTTCATTTTTTTTTGTGTGCTGCCTGCCCAGCACTGTCCTGCAAAGTAGATCGCATTCAGATTCGGTATTTTTTCTGGTATGGGCTGTAGTCTAGATAACTGGCTCACGGAATGAAATTTAAACACAAGAACATTTGACCTAAGTTATCGTTCAAGGTCACACCCATATGTTCCGATATTTACCTTACCTTGCAAAACACCTATTTCAAAAATTAAGACCTTTGAAACCAAGGTGGCGGGGCTTTGAAGGCTGAGCTGATTGACGTCAAATCACCTGATGAAAGAGTTACATCATATTTGGATGACACCATTCACAAGGATTTGTTGGGGCGAGAGATCAAGTATTTGGAGGAATCCAATGACTTACCCACAAGTACCTGTATGCCGGGATTTTGTGGCTGCAGTCAGCACGCTGACATTGCTTCCCAACTGGTTCGTGCTTTTCATATTTGCTTGACAGAAGGACAAGTCAAAACTGGGTCATTGCTAATCCTTTCTGGCACAGAGTCTTCACTCACCCGCACATTTTTCCTGGGCGTGACTTTGAAGAAGCCTTTGTTGCAAACAGTTGTGCTTGCATGTATTGAAGACGACCGCGTTTCCTTCAAGGGAGCAAGACAAGAGCACTTGCACCCACATCAGCTGGCTTCCATTCCCATTGTTACAACAACGGCCCATTTGTTTTTGGACTTGCTTCAGCACACTGCTGGACCAGGAGACAGACCTGAGTTTGAAGTGGAGCATTGGTTTTACAAACCTTTCGTTGATGAGGCTGGACGCCTTCATGTTAACCCTGAATATGTCATTCAGCAGTTCACTTTCAACCCTGACAAGAAGAGCTCAGTTCAAAGGAAAGCTCCTGTGAGTTTGCCATTTGGCCTCAAGCCTGACAGAAAGAGGAGGAGAGTTGAGGGGGGGAAGCCAAAGAGCTCAACCACCAAGACTTCTGAGGCGAAGCCGAATGTTTCCAAGATAGCGCGCAAACCACACAGACACGATGGTTACACACACGAGGACTCTGACATGACCGATAGTGACGAATCTGAACCAGGCTTTGGTTCTCAACTGTTTGCTGTTCATGATTCTTCGAATGCAGATCATGCTGTGGAGGAAGAGGAACAGATTGAACCAATCAATGAAGTTATGCAACAAGAGATTCTTAACGCTCAGGAGGTGGCTGAGGAAATTGCACAGGCTGATCAAGTCCAAGAGGCTTTCACTGCAGAGGTTGAGGCAAGCGGGGCCACGCTGGGAAAAACATTTTTCTCCAAGACTTTGGGGTTGGGTGCTGGCTCTTTCGCCCCCACTGGCCGAGCAAAATGTTACAGCTGCAAGGAGGCAATCACCAAGGGGTCAATCCGTTTCGAGTGGCAGTGGAACAAGTTGAGACCACATGGCTTTTTGCATCCTTATTGCATTCCTCAGGTGTCCAAGAGCTCCAATCTTGAGAAAGAGACCCTAGAACAACTAGTCAAAATCACAAGTGCTTCAAGCTGCAGCAGTAGCGGCATTGATCTGATCCGAGCTGAAGCTGCCAGAATATCCAACCAAATGAAAGGCAACTGATGCCGTTTGATTGCGTGCGTGGTGGAGAAAACAACTGGTGGGTCTTAGGGGACCGGAGCACATAACCCAAATACTAGCAACGACTACTGCCTATGGACTCCAGACTCCGGACTAAGGATCAGAACAACTTGACCGACCATATTCACATCACAATTGTGGGACCATGCTTTGTCAAAACATAGCAAGGGATTCAACGGTTTGACGAGTGGCTGGGCTGTGGCCATGGCTCATCGCCACTGGATATGTTATGTTGTGATACAGTTGTTTGTTTGGGTTGGTTGCTTTAGCATTCCCCCTAGTATGTTTTTCGTTATGCCATTCCCAGTCTGCATTTGCCTGTTGTGTGTGCTAGAATTCCGAGCTACAGGAAACCAACTAAATCGTCAAATAAATTCTGTTGTTATTGCAATATTCTGTTAGAGCCAGAGCAATCTATAGTTCTTCTCCGTATTTTTGGCAAGTAACAGTTATATATATATTATATATATATATGCACAGTATGCAGTAGAATGAGCAACAGCGATAATGATGAGGATGAAATGATACAGATGAGTGATGATATCATACAGTACGACGGGACATGCACATGAATAATTCACCAATCCACTGGGTTCAATGGTTCAGCAATGAAAATTCAAAGTTTATGATTTTTCCCCTTTGGAAATCACATGCAGAGGGGTTACATTCGAGCCTTTGCACAGGCCCCAATCGATTTCATGCTCTATGGCCGAATGGACGACGGTGAGCCTATCGGATTGTCCTTGATTCCTGGATACTCAGTCTCAGTGGAAAAGCTAGAGCTGCTCGCCAGCATGATGTCGCATTTACTTCTTGCTGTTGATGTCCTCAGCTTGAAGGTGAAGCGTTTTACGCAGAACGGATCAGAAGTATAGACTATAGTCATAGGCTAGGAGTGGCTTTTCTTATGTTAATGTTATTTTTGGAGATCAAAATTATGGGTGCGTGATCTCTCAACATGGGGCGACCTTTTTTTGGGATCGCATTGCAAGCTACGCACCAATGTTGCGAATGTTTAAATTGGATCATGTTGCAGTGCTGGTGTTGTTTTCATGCAGCCGTCATCAAGAAACATCACCCGTTTTGGGGCCACGGTTATTCTAGTGTTCTCACCCAGGCATGGAACTGGTCCTGTACATATTTCATGACGTTACAAACATGCTTAAAAATTTTGAATTTCAGAATCATGATTTTACTCTGTCAATTTCTGGAGGTCATTCACTTGTTGTTGGTCTCCTTGGCATACATTCTGTAAGTACATAAATTCTACCAGTGCTAATTGGCAAGCTTTCCCCCCACATCGTTTCACTTTCCCTTTGTGAAACTGAGTTCTGTGATGTTCCACATGGCGCAATCTCGCAAGCGGGTCTACATTATTATGGTCCGTGGCGACCTTTGCAATGCAGCCTTTGCTGGTGAGTTGGGAGATGTTGTGACCCGGGTTCTTCCCCATGGCATATATGACACCCTAGATGAAACCCAAGTCCGGGAGACCCTGTCCCAAGTCCGAACCTACAACTCAGAGGTTTTGGCCACTTTGCAAAGGGAGCCGGCTCTTCCCCCCAAGAGTCAGGACTGGTGTCGGTGATTTTCGGGATCTGTCCGGGGAGCCTGGGGAGCCCATTTTCTCAGGCCTGTAACCCCCCTAAATTGTAAATATGAAAGGAAACTATTTCTTAAATTGGGACCCAATCCCAGAAACTATTTCTTAAATGGGGCCCCAAACCCAGAAACTATTTCTTAAACGGGGCCCCAAACCCAGAAACTATTTCTTAAACGAGTCCCAGGATGGTGCCCAATCAATGGAGGTCCAGAAGACCATCCGCTCCATGAAAAAGGAGCTAGGCCTGGAACCTTTTGGCGACTTGAAGCCATACAGCCGAACAGAGTGCCCACCACAAGTGAGCCATGCCCTCAATAAGAGAGAAAAAACATCTTTGGACATCAACGCTGCTTTGCTGGAGGAAACTTGTCTTTTCAATTTGGGACTAATGAATGGGAGCGTTCTTACCCAAGTCTTTTCCTTAAAGGGAACGTCTGATTGAAGATTCAAATTCAACTTAGTGAAAATACCAAAAAGGAAATAGGCAAATAGGACATCATACTTCTTTTGGCTGTGGGTCCTACGGGTTGCATTTGTTTACTGAAGGCTGCCAAGGTGCTGGTGCAGGTGTTCCTCATGTTCTTGTGTTTTTTGAATGTTATAGTTATGTTCCTCTATTCCTCATCTCGGTATCAGGTACTTACTATTTTCCTTCTTTAAAACTTTGAAACTACTTCACTACTTAATAACTTCAGTTTGTTTATTTTTGTATTTATGATGTTATTTGATGATTTTAACATAAGTAAAAACAGGATGTCCTAGAAACCGTTTCGAACCGTTTCCCGCTATTTACTAGGTAATAGTCCGAAACCGTCCGAAACCGTTTCCCGCTATTTGCTAATTCATCCTGGCAAAAATCGCAAATAGTTTCAAATAGTTTCAAATAGTTTCAAATAGTTTCTGAGAATGGCTAATTAGCAAATAGTCCGAAACCGTTTCAAACCGTTTCCCGCTACTTGCTAGGTAATAGTCCGAAACCGTCCGAAACCGTTTCCCGCTATTCCCTAGAAGGCCTAAGTTACATAACATTTTTGATATTTTTAAAATGTTGTTTTTATCATGAATTTGAATCATATCTTAAAAACATAACTTACTTACTTTTGTTCCAACATAAAAAAGGGTAGTTACATTACTGTATTAGCGTTGTTGCCAGTTGATTGAACTACTATGTCTACGACGGCAACAACAACAACTACTACTACTGCTACTACTGCTACTACTACTGCTACTACTACTGCTATTAGGACATTGCTGTATTGTTATTGTATTGTTTTGATAATATCTTATTTATCAGATCACATCACTCACTCAATATTGTTTCTGTATCTCGTCACATTGTCAAATTACACATTGCTTATGCCTAAAAAACTTAAATGACACAAAGCAATGATGAATCAATGGTGTTTTCAAAAAAGGGTTGAAAAAATATGATATCACTGTATAGGCTTTAGATAACTGGATGCCGTATGTACCCCTATCGCCGATCGTCAAAACCTATACACGTATTTTAGTATTTTTGCGCGGTGATGAGAGCATGTACTAGAATGACAATGATTTGACAATTTACAAACAATATAAACAAGTACTGGCGACATGTCAAACAATATGGTATCGGCATTTGTTATGTATCGATCATAAAAGTTATCAAGTCTCGCCTTGTCATCGTTTTGACCTTTTCACAGCAACATGACATGTAAAAAGTGTTGAAAATGATAGTGCTGAATCTTATCCACTTGAGTTGCATTGTTATGCCACTACCTGCCCATACTTCACATTCCATATCTCATATGTCCGGGAAAACCACTTGAAATTGGCCCCCTCAAGATACAAAAGGTACCTGAAAAACATGCTCGGGGACCCCTTTCATCTCCAGGACTTTCATCTTGGGGATTCCACTCAAGAGAAACCTTTTCATGAAAATGTTCTTCTTTGTGAAACATACATACTGACATACTTGTCGTATCTTGCGTCGCTCTGCCTGTCGTGGTATAATTCAGAGTTTGGGTTTGGGTTTAGTTTTGGGTGCTGGTACTGCCACTGCTGTAAAAACATATCACAAACCCAGGACCAGGGCTTCAACCTTGCCCAAGATGAGTGCACCGTCGACCTTGCCAGAAACTTGGCATCCATTACAAAATGACATAAAATAGGTTACAAAACATTGGCAGGAAGGGGGGGCGATACCTCTGCATGTGGAAGTGTTTTATCAGAGTGAAGAGTTCGTTTTAATATTGAACAGTTCGGCAAGACTGCAGGTTAGCTTTACCATCAACCCTACCTATTGAAATTCTACCTACCATCTGAACGGACGCTTGACCATGATGCTGTGTTGGTGACTGACAGCTGATTAACCAATTCGTCATCATGAAGGCTTGATGATGATGATGATGATGATGATGATGATGATGATGGACAATGGTAATGAGCAATGAAATGAGAATTTTGATGAGATGATTGGTAAGACACATGCTTTCGAACTCTCCATCCTGGTCATTCTGATTCAGGAAGTGTGGGCCGTTATCACATAGGGACTCGCGGCCATATTTCATGTTTGACCACAAACGTCAAGCTGTACTGCTTCAAAGCAAGAACCCTTTTGAGTGGGGAGGACTGCTGGGGGTGCAGTGTGGATGTGTGTCATGTCAGCTTTACTGGCTATACTCAACATGTCACTTGTTCTTTTTATAATAGTTCATTTGCTGAGCTGTGTTTTCACGATTCGGTATCAGACATGGTGTACCTGTTATACCACACATTGGGAGCTGATCACTGGTAGGACTGTTGTTGTTGTTGTTGCTGTTGTTGTTGTTGTTGCTGTTGTTGCTGTTGTTGTGGTTGTTGTTGCTGTTGCTGCTGCTGCTGGTTTATTAAAAGTTTCCCAGCATCCAATCAGAGTTTCCAAGCTTGAGTTCAGCATTCAAAAGTACTGACAGCTTTGGGCCAGCTCATCCTACACCCTTGTCAGACCCTAAGCCGGCCCTGCCTGCTTGCAGGACCTGTTATCACTTCAAGGCTATGACATGGAAAGGCTTCAGCTTTCAGATGAGCTGGGGTATGCCGAGATGAACGTGTTGGCCGGCTGCTTGGCAGCTATTCGATGTTGCACGTGCAAGTGTGAATGACGCGTGAATTCACATTCCAAAATCTAAGTCTAGGTGGGAGTGGACGTTTCGGGCCATAAGACGTATATCTGGCCCCTTTCCCTTTATTGAATTGACAATCTTTTTTCTGGGAGATGACCTGCTGGGTAAGTATCCATAATAAAAGCTATGGTGCATTGTACATGTTTCTATGATACCATCGATATATATATAATATGATTATGGCTCAACATGAGGTGCCCTTTTTTGTTTCAAAAAAAATGTTTTAAAGGGGAAAAGGGCACGTTATTTCCAGATCCCCTTATATGTTCTTTAATGTATTTCTTTTAGATATGATGTGATATATGATATGTACATTTGATGTATGATATACGATATAGGTGTTTCACTTCGTTGCTTCTACATCGAAGGCCAAAGATGTAGATTTTGAAAGGTTGCCTTGGCTGTTTGGAAAACTAGCCCACTTTGATTCCCACTTACGTGAAGCAACCTCAGGGTCATTTCCTGCAAGTGCAGCTTTTGTTGGCACACCAAGCGGCCTAAGTGGATTGTGTCACGTGACATGATCCTGTGGTCCATCCTAGTCAATCGGTTCCACTCCTTCGATATATTGGACGTGCATCATGCATACTGATCGCAGCAATACACAGTGGAATTAAAATCCTTGGGCCATTGGATAATCGTAGTACAGGATAGTGCATACTTTTTCTGACCCCTGCGCGTTCTACTATCATATGATACGTGGTGCAATTAGACAAAAAAGATTATACCCCAAGGTTTCACCACTTGAACCCCGGTACTTAGCAAGCGCATTGACGCCGGGATTTGAGGAGATAGCTGGAGCGTTCCAGTTATTGGTGCCGTCATGACCACTCTGCTGGCCATTCTTTTGCCGCACAAGTTGAAGCGGGTCCCACCACCAGCGCTCGTTGACTTTCCGAGCGCTGACCTCTTTCCGCTTCCAGCAGAGGAGTGGGGTCGCCCCCAGCTTGATTGGCCAAACGACAAGGACAAGGAGTCTGAATTGTCAGGCGCTGCTTTTGAGGATGAAATCCTCAAACAGTTCCAACTTTCAGGATTCAAAGTAGAGGAAGAGCTTCAGCCTGAGGCACCAGCGTGACTGCCAGCCACTGCGTCAGTCCAGCAAAGGCCACAGGTCTTCTTCGGTTTT